AATGGATAGAGAAGTTGCATAGTTAGCAGATGCAGGGTTATAAGCTTCTTCAAAAGTACGTTACTAATTAATGAGGATGTAAGGCTGTGGATAAGGAGTCCTTGGGGTGCAGGATCTCAGACTTTCTATTGAGGCAGTTAGGAGATAACTGTATAAATAATGGACATTCAATAGCAGGTGACAGAAAAAACATTCTAGTGAAAACCCAAGAGACAGCAAAATAGAGCCCCTCCCTGTACTGACTCCCAACTTGATAAAGAAGGCAATTGAGAGGTCCTGAAAGGACAGTAACAGCCTGACAGGAATTTGAACTTTAATATAATCAAATATTTACACAAAGGAAAATTTGAAGCTCAGAAAATATGATTTCTTTTTTGGTGAATCTGTCTTCCCCTTCTCAATTCTGCTATTAGAGTGGGTCTCCAGAGCAAGGTGTGGTCATTACTACAAATAAAGTCAGTTTTTGCACATCATATGTAAATTTTTGCTTACATTTCCACCTACCCGCTTCTCCATGTTGTCAGGAAGGTATTGTAGCTAATGGGTGATGGAACATGTACAAGATCCTTTTGAAGAAAATTAGACAAATGTTTAGTAAATGGGTAGATGTAACATGTTTCTAAATGGGACTACTTGAATATTGAAGTTGTCAACTAATCTATAAATATATTTTTAACCAAATCCCAACAGCTATCTGTCAATATGGAAATAACTACATAAGTTGTGATATATAGCTATTCTGTGGGATATACAAATAAAAATGGGGTAAAACTATATGTTTGAAATGGAAAAATCTCCAGGACACATCAAAAAGAAAATGCAAATATAGCCATAGGGTCACCTAAATATAAAGCAAATATTAACAGACCTAAAAGGAGAGAGAGAGATGGCAATACAATAACAGTAGGGGACTCTCATCAATGGATAGATCATCCAGATGGAATATCATTAAGGGAACATTGACCTTAAATGACACGTTAGACCAGACGGACTTATCAGACATACAGAACATTGCATTTAAAAGCAACAGAGTAGACATTTTCACGTACACATGGAACATTATCCAAAATAGGCCATATGCTAGGCCACAAAACAAGCCTTACTTTGAGAAGATTGAAATCCTATCAAGCATCTTTTCTGACTATGTGAAATTAGAAATCAATTATAAGAAAACTTGAAAATTTACAGATATGTGGAGACTAAACATGCTACTAAATGGGTCAAGAAAGAAATTAAAAGATTTTAAAACACCTTGAGACAAATGAAAATGGAAATAAAATATACCAAAACTTAGGGGTTGCAGTAAAAGTAGTTATAAGAAGGGAGTTTATAGGTTCCTATATCAAGAAACATAGATCTCAAACCTAACTTTACATCACAAGGAACGAAAAGCAAACGAAGCCCAAAGCTAATAGAAGAAAGGAAATAACAAAGATCAGAGTGGAAATAAATATGATAGTCTTGAAAGACAATAGAAAAAGTCAATGAAGCTAAGCTGTTGGTTTTTTTCTTTTTTTTTAAGATAAATTTGACAAACCTTTAGATTTACTAGAAAAAAAGGACTCAAAATCAAAGGAAATAGGAGATATTACAACTAATACTACAGAAATACAAAAGATATTAAGAGACTACTATGAACAATTATATACAACAAATTCAAAAACCTAAAAGAAATGGATAAATTTTTAGAAACATACAACCTACCAAGGCTTAATCATAAAGAAATAAAAAATCTGAGCAGAACAATCACTAGTAAGGAAATTGAATCAATAATCAAAAACCCCCTAACACACTAAAGTCCAGGACCAGATGGCTTAAATGATGCATTCTACCAAATATTTAAAGAATTGATACCAATCTTTCTCAAACTCTTCCAAAAAATAGAAGGGGAGGGAACATTTCCAAACTCATTTTACAAGGCCAGCATTATCCTAATACCAAAATTAGAAAAGGTCACCATGAGAAAAGAATATTATAGGCCAATATCTCTAGTAAACATAGATGCAAAAATCCTCAACAAAATATTAGCAAACGATTCAACAATACGTTAAAAGGGCCATACACCATGGTTGAATGAGATTTAACCCAGGGATACAAGGATGGTTCAACATTCACAAATCAACCAATGTGGTACTCTACGTTAACAAAATGAAGGATAAAATACAGTCATCTCAACAGATAGAGAAAAAAGCATTTGACAATTCAATTTATCCATTTATGATAAAAACTCAACAAAGTGAGAAGAGAGAAAGTACCTCAACATAATAAAAGCCATACAGTCATATGTTGCTTATTGATGGGGATATGTTCTGAGAAATGTATCATTAGACCATTTTGTTGTGCAAACAGTGACACACAAACCTAGATGGTATAGCCTACTCCACACTTAGGCTATATGGTATAGCCAACATATTGCCCCTAAGCTACAAAGCTTTAAAGCAGGGGTCACACACATACACACATGCACGTGCGTGCACAGCAGGAGGTGAGCAGTGGGCAAGTGAGCAAAGCTTTATCTGTATTTGCAGCCGCTCCCTAGCACTAGCATCACCGCTTCAGCTCCACCTCATCATCAGGCATTAGATTCTCATAGGAACACTAGTCCCTGATGTCAAAAATGTTGGGGACTGCTGGCCTAGGCCTACACAGGGTTAGAATTATCAATATCACTGTCTTCCACCTTCACATCTTGTCCTGCTAGAAGATCTTCATAGGCAAAAACGCATGGAACTGTCATCTATGATAATGCCTTTTTGAATACCTTCTGAAGGACCTAAGGCTCTTGGTAAGGTATCGTTCTTTCCAGCAGTATGTCCACTGTGGTTTGCTTGGTTTCTTTTTTCATAGATTTGGTTGCGAGAAGATAATGCACCATGAACATTCCTCTCTATTAATGGGGTACACGTTTTCAAACTTGTTAATGAGGTTGTTGAGGTCTGGAAAAGCTGCTAAGCTCTTCACTGAATTTTCTTGAGGTTCTTCTAAAGTTTCCTTTTTTCTTGCCTCTTCTTCAGCTATGCTTTCCTGTTCCAATTCCAGCAGCTCCTCTTTTGTCAGTTTCTCAGGAATCACCTCTAGGAGCTCCCCAGTGTCATCCTCATTCACATGCAAGTTAAAGTCCTTTGCCATCTCAATTGCAGCCTTGATTTTTACAACCTCTTCTTGGCAAATCCTTTGAAGTCGTGACAAATCTCTTGAGTATCTTCTTCGAGATGCCATTCATATACTTCTTGGTGATCTGGATCTCATCCCAAGCTCAAGCAAGGTTTTTGATGGAGTCATAAATATAATCCTTCCAGAATTGCATTAGTGTCCTTTCAGTGTCTTCCTCAGTTGCAGCAATAGCCTGGGCAAAGGTAGCCTCAGGCAGTAAGCCTTAAAAGCTGCTATAGCTCCTTGGTTCATTGATTGGATCAAAGATGTGGTGTTTGGAGGGAGAAACACCACTGTGATATTGGAATGTAAATCACCAATAAAATGAGGATGTCTAGGAGCATTATCAACAATAAGCAAAATCTTGAAAGATATATTGTTCTCCAAACAGTCCTCCATTTTTCTGGTGTAGCAATTCAGGAGGGCATCTTGGAAGAGGAGTTGGGTCACTGATGACTTATTGCTCCTGTAGTATACTGGCAAAAACCAATTTAAAAGACAGGAAATTTTTTTCTATCATGGTTTAATACATGATATCCAAACTCTATTAAGAGTTTTTATATCAGTGATAAGTTAAAATAATAGAAATTTACAGGGGCTATGAATATAAATTCCAGAAGAAAAACAAGCAGCCAATTAACAGAGAAATGAGGTCAATAAGATAATATTTTCATTCTTCAAAGTGTCAAAAATGTGAAGGTTTTAATATTTTCATTCTTCAAAGTGTCAAAAATGTGAAGGTTTATAAGAGGTGTTAGAGATTCAAGTACATATCCAACTAAGGATCTGAATTTGAAGAAGCCTGTTTTGGAAGACTATTTGGATTTCAATCAGAATTCTAAGTGGGTATGCCATTGAGTCAGCAACTTAATTTCTAAGAATTTATACTAAAGAAATGTAATGTATGTGTAATGTGTAGACAAATATGTGTAATGTATAGATATTCATTTGCAACCAATTACAATTAATATCTAACCAGTGTTCAATATGCGAGAGGTTAAATTATGGTAACTCCTTACTGTCAAAAAAAGGTGGATCTATATATTCTGATATAGACAGAGATCCAAGAACTATTATGTGAAAAAAAAAAAGCTGAGGAACAATACATAAACCATAATCCCATATATGTTGAATTATCTTATATATTTAAAACATTATACAGTTACATATGTTTTGCATTGTATATGTATAATAATAGCTATCATTGAGTTGCATCATTCTAAACATGCTAAAGAATGACCTCATTTAATTCTTACAACCCATTTCCATTCTACAGATGAAAAAGCAGGCACAGAGAAATTAAATAACTTTAAATCTCCAAATGAGATTTAAAGCCAGGCTTTCCAACTCTTGAATAACCAACCATTAAGCTACACAAAGAAAGAAAACAAAGGACGCAATGTTGAAAATGCTTCCACTAGAAAGAGGAAGGGAGTGAAGGAAAGGGAATTTATAAATTTTTCATATATATTTCTATACTGTTTGAATCTTACAAAATGTGTTCATCATTTACTTACATATTTTTAAAGGGGACAAAACGTTTGGTGAGGGACTCACTTTTGTTACATAAACAAATTTGAAAATAATTTGTAAGACAAAAATGTAGAGAACTATTCTTTTTTTCAGACACTTTCTAGGTTCCTCTGCTTAAATCGTTCAAGACGTTTGAGGTTTTGTTATCTCTTGTAGTCTTTAAATTGTTTTATGTTACACTGGTGAACCATGTACTGATTTTATTACCATAGATAACCCAGTTCAATATGAAGTGTTAATAATCACTTAGTATTTTAGTTTCAGCTATAGTTATAAAATAAGGATCCCACAGTTCTCCTAACAGTTCCTTGAAAATGAGGCTGATGTGGAACTTAGTCTTTATTGTCCTCCTAAGTTTTTCGTGCTGGGCACTAGACTGGGAATCTGATAGAAATTTCATTTCAGCTGCTGGTCCTTTAACCGATGACTTGCTACACAACCCGAGCAACCTGGGAAACCAGAGTTCTAACTTTGCAGCGGGGAGCAAAGACATTTATGTTTGTCGTCAGCCACTGCCTGCCCCCCTGCCAGAGTACCTTAGTAGTATTCATGGCAGTAAGATCACCCATTATAAAGTATTTCTGCCCTGGGCACAACTTCTTCCAGCAGGAAGCTCCGAGAACCCAGATACGAAAGTCGTGCAGTGCTACCGGCGACTCCTTGAGGCCATCAGGGCTGCACAGCTTCAGCCCCTGGTCATCTTGCAGGACCAGGCCCTCCCCACCGGCATCATCCAGAGAAGCGAAGTCTTTGCTGATCTCTTTGCTGACTATGCCACATTCGCCTTCCAGTCTTTTGGGGACCTAGTTGAGGTCTGGTTCACTTTTAGTGACTTGGAGGAGGTGATAATGGAACTTCCCCACCAGGAGTCAAGATCTGTACATCTCCAGACCCTCACGGATGCCCACAGAAAAGCCTATGAGATTTACCACGAAAAATATGCTTCTCAAGGTGAGTACACATGACCCTGATGACTGACCCACCAGCAGCCTTTATCACCCTCCTTAAAGCAAGACACAACGTTTCTTCCCACTCACCCTCAATAGTCCCATCATATCTCTTCATTATTGAGAAATTAATATCGTATTGAAGATTTCTCAAAGGAGATAGGTAGGGATGGCTTATATTGTGTAGTATCCAGCATTCCCTTTGAAAGATATCTTTTAAGCACCCCTTGCCCAGTCTTGAGTCTGTGCTGCCACAGATTAACTTTCTGTCTTCCTTCTCCAGTTCTCCCTCCTTGACTCTTTCAAGGTTTCAAGATTGCCTGTCCTACCTCAGCCTTTCCTTTTTCTTATGCAAAGCAACTTCCACATTCTAGCTGGAGCTTACATTCCAGCAGAGAAGACAGACAATAAATACATCGATAAAATAATGATATACTAATAGGTAGTGAGAAGAGCGTAATTGTAATTGTCCATATTCATGCTTCATAGCTCATTTGAGGTTCTGATTCAATGGTCTGGTCGGGACCAGGACGTTTGCGATTTTAATAAGTTCCCTAGGTGAATTCGAGGTACGCCAATTTTGAGAACCAATTTTGGCTCCCCTGCCCCCGCTGTTCGGTGTCCACAATAACTTAAATGTACAAGGCCAAACATTTTAAATTAAAAAAAAATTAATTACAGAAAAGGTGGCATTTTAACAAATAAAGCACATTCGCCATTTTTTTTTTTAAAAAGATGTTAATAAGTAAATTTCCATTTACTGCTGATTAGAAAATACAATATGAAATGCAATTCTGTTATATTCCTAAGAATTTTTTATCGGGGTATGAGTCACATATAATGAAATGCATAGATCTTAATTTTACAGTTTGATTAATTTTGACAAACACATACATCCACGTAACCTATACCCTTATCAAGATATAAGACGTTAGCCAACACCTCAGAAAACTCCCTTCCTGATCAATCCCTATCCCCAGGAGCAACCACTGATCTGATTTCTATCAGCATAGATGTGAATAGAACCATACAGTTGCATATACTTTTGTGTCTGTCTTATAACATTCATCATAATGTTAGTGAGATTTATTCATTTTGTTCCTCCACTAGTAATTTGCTCCTTTTTTCTTCTAAATATTATTCTACTATGGATGTATCAGTTGAAGAGCATTTGGGCTATTTTCAGTTTTTATTTATTATGAATAGAGCCGCTATGAACATTCATTCTTGTACAAGTTTTTGTATGAACTTATATTTTCATTTTTCTTAGATAAATACCTAGGAGTGAAATTGCTGTCATGAAATAGAGATATATTTGACTTTTTAAGAAACTGCTAGTTTTCCAAAAACAGTTGTTCCATTTTATATTTTCACTTGCAGTACGTGAGAGTTTCAATGGCCCCATATCCTCACCAACATTTGGCATTCTCATCTTTTCTATTTTAACCATTCTGATGGTATCTCACCATAATTCCATTACCTTTTTAAAATATAATTTCTATCCCAAGTGCATATATGCTTAAACAATATAGTGTTTAATTTTGCTTGGTTTGGTTTTGAGCAGCATAAAAGAATATTATACTTTTTGTAGTCCTCTAGGACTTCCTTTTTTTCCAAACAAAATCATATTTCCAAGGCTTATCCATGTTGTTGAATATAGCTATACTGTATTCTTTCTCACTACTATATAACATTCCATGTGTGGCTAAGCCACATTTTATTATTTTCCTGCTTATGGACATTCAAATTGTTATCAGGTTTTGCTATTATGAACATAGCTGCTATGAAAATTCTTTTGTACATGTTTTTCTCTACATGTGCAAGAATTTCTTTTGTATATATACACAGGGGATTGCTAATTGTGGAGGTTACGAATGTTCAGCTTTGAGGGAGAATGTAAATTTTTTTCACTGTGGTTGTACCACTTTACATTTTCATTAGCAATGTATAAGAATTTTTGTTGACTCCTTCAACACTTGTAATTGCCAGAATAATAAATTTTTGCCAATCTAATGTATTTAAAAGTATTTCTTTATGATCTTATTTACCTGATTACTATTCAGGTTGAGCATGCTTTCATGTGTCTATTAGCCATATTTGTTTCCTTTTCTGTAAAATTCCTGTTATATATCTTATTCATTTAGGTATTGAGTTGTCTTTTTCTTATTGACTTGTTGGAATTCTTTATGTATTTTTTAATCTGTATGGGTTACATGTAACCACAGTATTTTTCTGGTTCATGTCTTTTCACTCTTTTTAATGGAGTCTTTGATGAACAGAAGTTCTTACTTTTATACAAACTTATCAATCTTTTTTTCAGGTGATTTTTTTGATATATTTTTAATGGTACTTTTTACAATTACTTAAATTCATTTCTTCTTTCTTTAGAATTTCTAGTTTCCAAATGTTTTTATCCCTGGTGAATCTCAAAGTTCTTAGGTAATTATGCATCTTTTCCACATTCATTCTTTGAGGAGTCATTTTCTGTCAATCATTAAAAAGTCAAGGATAATCTGCAAAAGTGAAAGCCATTCTTAGTTTGTAAGAGTTTTTTCCTTTTTAATCAACACTTTAAAAAATTAATAGAGTTTATTCTTTTAGAACACTTTCAGATTTACAGAAAAACTGAGCAGATAGTACAGAGTTCCCATATATCCTCCCCTCCCTGAACCCAGTTTTCCCTAATATTAGCATCTTAGTATAGTATATTTGTTATAATTAATGGAGCAATATTGATACATACTTTATTCAGATTTTCTTAGTTTTTACTTAATGTCTTTTTTCTATTCCAGGATCTCATTACATTACTACATTTAGTTGTAATGTTGCTTTAGGCTTCTCTGGGCTGTGACAATTTCTCAGACTTTTCTTGTTTTTGATAATCTAATCGACAGTTTTGAGGAGTCCTGGCTAGGTATTTTGTAGGATGCCTCTTTTTATATCTCTTCTTGAGATATAATTCATATACCATGCAATCTACCCATTAAAGTTTTTAGTACATTTTAGCATGGTTGTAAGTATATTTACAGATACGTGCAACCATCACCATGGTCAATTTTAGAACTTTTTATTTTTATCACTTCAAAAAGAAATTTTGTAACTTTTAGCTATCACCCTCCCAACCCCACATTTCCCTCCCTCATTCCAGCCCTAAGCAACCACTAGTTGACTGTGTCTATAGGTTTCCCTGTTCTGGACATTCCACATGAACGAAATGATATAATATGTGGTCTTTTGTGACTACATCTATTGAGATTTGTCTGATGTTTTTCTCCCAGATAGACTGGGATTACAGGTTTGGGGGAAGCAGATCACAGAATAAAGTGTCGTTTTCATTATATCATATCAAGGTACATAATATCAACATGATTTATGACTGAAGTAGTGTTTGTCAGGTATCTCTACTGTAAAGTCTCCTTTTTCCTCCATTCCATACTGTACTCTTTGGAAGGAAGTCACTATACACAGTCCACACTTAAGGAACGGGGAGTTATGCTCCTTTTTATATTTTTTTAAAGTTCTTTTCTAAATTTAACCAAGAAGGCAAAAGACTTGTATACTGGAAGCTATTTTTAAAAATTGCTTAAAGAAATGAAAGAAAACAAAAATAAATGGAAACACATTCCTTGTTCATGGAATGGAAGACGTAATATTGTTAAAATGTCGATATTACCCAAAAAGATCTACAGATGCAATAAAATTCCTATCAAAACTCCAATGATATTTTTTGCAAAAATAGAAAAATCCATTTTTAAATACACATGGAATCTCAAGAGACCCCAAATAGTCAAAATGATCTTGAAAAAGAACAGAGTTGGAAGACTCACATCTCCTGATTCCACAACTTGCTACAAAGCTACAGTAATCAAAATAGTGTGTTACTGAGATAAGGATGGACATGTAGACAAAAGAAATAGAATAGAGAGCCCAGAAATAAATCCTCACCTATCTGGTCAAATGCTTTTGACAAGAGTGGCAAGGTCATTCAATAGGGGAAAAGACAGTCTTTTCAAGAAATGGTGTTGGGAAAACTGAATATTTATATGCAAAAGAATTAAGTTGCATCCTTACCTTATATCATATACAAAAATTAACTCGAAATGGATCAAAAACCTAAACATAAGAGCTAAAACTATAAAACTCTTAGAAGAAAACATTGGGACAAAAACTTTATGACATTGGTTTGGTAATGACTTTTTAGCTATGATTCTAAAAGTACTGGCAACAAAAGATAAAATAAATTAGACTTCATCAAAATTAATTTTTTTTTTTGTATTTAAGGGCACTATCAACAGGGAAACAGCAACCCACAGAATGGGAGAAAATATTTGCAAATCATATATTTGATAAGAGATTAGTATTCAGAATATATGAAAAACCTCCTAACTCAGCAACAACAAAACAACCCTATTAAAAAATGGGCAAAAGATTTTAATTAACCTTTTTTTTTTTCCAAAGAAAGTATTCTATTAGCCAATAAGTACATGTAAAGATGCTCTACATCAACAATCATTAGGGAATGCAAATCCAAACCACAATAAGATACCATTTCACACCCATTGTAGATGGCTACTATTAAAGAAAAAATTACAAGTGGCAAGGATATAGAGAAATTATAATTCAGTATTACTAGCAGAAATGTAAAATGGTATAGCCACTATGGAAAACAGTATGGCAGTTCCTTAAGAAGTTAAAAATAGAATTACCATATGGCCCAGCACTTATGTGTATATACCCAAAAGAATTGAAAGCAGGAACTTAAACAGATAGTCACACACCCATATTCATAGCAGCATTATTCACAATAGCCAAAAGGTGGAAATAATCCAAATGCCCATGGATAGATAAATGGATACACAAAATGTAGAATATACAAACAATGGAATACTAGTCAGCTGAAAAAGAAGTGAAATTCTGGCACATGCTACAACATAGATGAACCCTGAAGACATTAAAAGTAAAATGAGCCAGGCACGAAAGGATAAATATTGTATGAGTCCACCTATGTAAGGAACCTAGAATAATAAAATTCACAGAGAAAGTAAAATTGTGGTTATCAAAAGCTGGGAGGAGTGCATAATTGGGAATTACTGTTCAATGGATACAGAGTTTTAGTTTGGGACGATGGGAAAGTTTTGGAGATGGATGGTGGTGATGGCGGCAGCACAATGCGAATACACTTAATGCCACTGAACTCTACACTTAAAATTTTTTAATGGTAAGTTTTGTGTTCCGTATATTTTATTGCAATGTTTAGAAGTTCTTTTCTAATCTTTCTGTATGTGTTACTCTAAACCTCAGTTGATGTGTTCGGTGTGCTGACACTGGGGAGGATGCAAAAAGAACAGAGGTGGAGGACGAGGAGCGGGTGAACATCCCTCTCAAGGGAAGAGGAGAATTGCACACAACATCCTCCACTTGTACAACACTGGGACACAATCCAGGATAACACTAGCAATCCCCACCCTACGCTTGGCAGTAATGGTTCGAAGCATTGATATTGGCTGTTCATTATTGACTAGATTCCTCATATTGATGCATTTGGGGCAAAAGGGAAAGGGGCTATTTTGTGTGGAGGACCACAAAGGTTTCTGGAGAAACAACTTCCCTCTGTCGTGGAAAGAGAAATGAACTGATCCTTTAGCAAGGTCTAGTAAAGTGTCCAAAGGACAGGAATTTACACTGTGCTACGCAATGATTGTCAACACAGGCTTTAAACAATTCTCAAGCCACAACAAATACTGATTTTGAGTTCTACAGACAGGGATATCCATCTTCAACCTTATCCAGCAAAAAATTACAAGATCAATTATCCTAAACCAAAGCAATCATCTGCCCGCTTTCCATCCCATAGAAAACATGAACTGCAAGCTTAGAGTCAGAATCTAATTTTGAGTAATCTGCGTTTTACATTATTTTAAAAAGTATAATTTATGCTTACACTGGGACTAGGTTGGAAACCATATTGGGAAAGTTTGATTATTTTGTATAATATGAGAATTTCTGGAACTTTGGATACATTTGTTCACGCTAAATTCTAAAAACAGCTTGCAAAATCAAATAGAAATGATTTGCGGGTTAACTGTGCTTAGGGATTAATTGTACCCTTGTTTCATTTTATTGGTCTAGATATGACACTAAATTGTACGTTTTAAAATGTTATGCACAAGCCGAGAATATATGTTCTATGTGCTGACGTGACAATAGACGGAAGCATGGAAGTAGGTGGAAGTGAAGTGGATCTGTTGGCACAATCATTAAGTAACTGGAAAGTAGTGTTATCTTATCAGAATGAGGACTAAATGTGTCTGAGTGATATTTCCTGCTCAGAGGATTTCGAAGTTCCATTATGCTTATCAAAATAAGCACTTCGTAGTTGGTAGTGGTTGGTAGTGGTGGTTTCATTGGCTGGGGAGATCTTTCTCCTGTATAGAATGAAAGAAAGAAGTCAAGGCATATGGACTTATAGTATAAGTCTCAAACTGTCATCCTACTCAGTTTTTGTTTAGTGGTTCCAAATTACAGGTTCGAGCACCTGCGATGTACCCAATCCTAAGCTTGATGTTTGGAGGGACTAAAGAAATGTTCAAGTTTTGCTTCTCAAGGAGCTATAATCCAGTGAGAGATAAAGACTTATGCGCATCAAAGAGACAGCAATACAAGCAACTGAGGGATCCCAAGCTCACAGCAGCGTTTCTAACTGTGGAAGGCCACTGCTTCAGAAGCACCAGGGGAGCCTGTTAAAATGCACTGGTTCCTGGGCCCTCCCCAGTCTCCTGACAAGCAGGCGGTTGATTCTGATGCGCACATATTTGAGCACCACAGTTAGACAATCAAATGTGAAAGCAACTGGGTATAAGCTGCATATGTTTATATTTCCTTGTCTTCCTCTCAATGCACAGTAGGGGCTGAACTAATGCTTGCATAATGAACCAGGACGGGTAAGAGCAGCTCCCTGAGAGCACCCTGCCTTTAAAAGAAGTCGAGAAAGCAGTTCTCTTCTTATCTCCTTTTACATTGCAGCGGTGGAAGTGGGGGCCAGGATAACTACTTTTATTTTTTTAAAAGACAAGTCATTTCAGAGTCCTAATTTATATGAAACATTCTCTAAAGGGACTTTTCGTTAAGGCACTTCATCTTCTAAAATCTTTCAGCCAAGGTAAAGTCATGTGAATCATTTCTTCAGAAATTCTTTTTGTAAATCAGTGAACATGGAATAGAAAGGTCAATAGGAAATAAGTCTTCAAGCGGTTTCTGTCGTCACAGCCCCCTGCCTCTCTCAGCTGCAGCTTCTTCCTCTGATTGATTCTAGGAGGAAAGCTCTCTGTGGTCCTACGAGCTGAAGCGATCTCAGAGCTCCTGCTAGAACCGTCCACATCTTTGCTTGCCAAGGTAAGGACAACCCAAAGGAATGGCATCTGTAGCATCTGAGGAAGGTTGCAATTTTAATTTTAAAAAACAAAAGAAGATTTTGTCTGTTGACTTGACATTTTTAGAATGCCTCTTCTGAGTGGCCTACATTCTCTGGATTCATAATTACTTTAGAACAAAATCTCACTTGTTGTAGCCCCAGCTCTTGCTTGGTCAAGTGTCAGCTTTTGCCCACACAAAGAAGTCAAATGCCTCTGCTTGCTCTGATTTTTTTATTTGAAGAGTCCAAAATAGCTTATTAGAAGAGCGATCAGTCTACAGAAAAACAGATACTAAAGTAAAGGTTTTTTTTGTTGTTGTTTGTTTGTTTTTAAATAATGTGCTCTCTGGAGTACCCAATCAATTTCTATCTCCTCTAAATATAACTTTTTATGATTTTAAATAAAAAAAATTAAAACACCTGAGGATTAAACCACTTTGGCCCTTGTAACATTGGCTGCTGGGTAGCATAGAAAACCATTAATAAAAACAGCTGATTTCTGTAGTTCTATGGCATTGATAGGGTGCTATACAGATGCCACGCTGCCGGATGACAAACAGTGATATCTATGATGTGATGGAGGCACCATATATCAGCATCCAGTCTTCAGATTTTCCAGCTTGGAAAGTTAAAATCCAGAGGTGATAGGGTTTTAAATAACCTGCTCCATGGCTGACTGTCTGGCCAGAATACCATCTAAATTAGTTTACAAGGGGCAATAACTGCTATCGGTTATAAACTAATGAGACCAAAGTGCTGATCAGAAAAGTGCTTATCGAGGAATAGCCTTTGACCTGACCTCTCGGCCCCAACCCATGCCACGTAGTGCTTCTGAATCATCTTCCAAAAACACAGTCTACTCCATCTCCTTCTGGGAATCTACACACCCCTGAACTGGTGCAAACTCCTCAGAGCCTGCCAGAGGGCTGCTCACTTGGGCTCTCTGCTCTCCCTCCTCACCTCTTAGATTTCCCAGCGCATCTGCTATGCTTTCTTCTTGCTCTCTTCCATTCCCTACTCAATATCCTTCCTATCCCCCTAGGCTTCCTCAAAAATCTCTTCCAGCAAAATTCTACCCATTTCTAACATCCACGCGAATGTGCTTTCCATCAGGTGACCTTGCTTAACAATGCTCCCTTGCTTAACCTGATGTGGTCTCTCTCTCCCCACCTGAAACCTTTTGCCATTTGTTTAGACCAGCGGTTCCCACGCTATGGTGTGTATCAGAATCACCTGGAGGGCTAGTGAAGCCCTCAGAGGCCAAGGTTTAATGTGCAAGGACAGTCCTGGACCTTTATAGGCTTCCTCGGTTCCCAGGCAAGTCTAACTCCCACCGCGGTTTGAGGGCCCCTGGTGTGGACTTTTCTTACAGCACTTCTTTCTACCTTTTCTCATGTAATTGGTGCATTCACCAACTCTCTATTAAGTTTGTCAGCTTCTCATTCAGCTTTAAATGTGAATCCCTACCCACGGGGATTTGCAAGAGTAGAAACTCGACGACTATGTGTTGTATGGAATTGACAAAAGCAGTGCTGAGAGGGTGGGTTGCGGAAAGTTTGAGTGGTACTCGCCAAAGTGGCGTGAGCACGCGGACTGTTTAGTAAATATTGACGATACCTTAGCCATGGGGAGCCAGTGCTGAGTCAGTTATCCAAGGCCTACATGAGCATGGTTGTTACAAGATGCCATTATCCACAGTCTTCTTCCTGAAGGAACAGGTAACCTATGATGGGGAGAAGACAGGCAAGGACAAAGATAGAAATGGATTGCTGAGAAGGGCAAGGAGGGAATCACAGAGGTATGTTTATGTGTTTAGACTCTGAATTTCAAGTTCTTAGAGTATATGCGGGCCAGAGAGGTATGAAGGGCATGTCCTTAACCGGAGCTTGGATGGGGATGTCAAAGACCAGGACCATGAGAGCTGTGTTCTTGGATAATAGAATGTGCCAGGCTAGGGCCAATTGGGGTGGACTTTAAACTGCAGCCTGAAAATAGCCAGTGACTATAGCCTACCATGAAAACAGAACCCAGTATGCCAGTAGAGACTGCAGAGATCACTGAGGGGCCCGTGGGTAGCTGAGGGCTTCACCGCCTCCGTCCTGGACAAGTGGGAGGGCTGTGAGGAGGTTGCTGCCCAGGGCAGCTCTGGCCTCTGCTTTCTTTAGTGCTCACCTGCTTGGTGGGAACCCACCATATCTGGCATACAGTATGTCATTCATTCACTCATTTATCTACCTACTCATATGCATTTATTGAGCACGTACTGTATGTCAAGCACTTTGCTGAGTATATAAATGATGCATTCCCAACACACAGGGCCCCCACACACACATTCTTAGTCCATCTCCAGCTTATCTTCTGCCTGTTTTTCCCTTGGAAAATCCCACTTTGGAGTCTTCAGTTTAGAAATAGGGGGAGAAACAAAAAAGAACACTTCTTAGCAGTGTCTTGAAATTGCTTATGTTTTAGTGACCCTATTTACTTATTTCTAGGACGCGGTTGATTTCCTCTCTCTTGATTTGTCTTATGAATGCCAAAGCGAGGCAAGTTTGCTGCAGAAGCTGAGTAAATTGCAGGTAAGTTGAGCCACTTCCCATATTGATGATGAGTGGCAATTTCCTGAGAGCATGTTAGACACTTAATGGTTTGGCTGACGTGTAAACTGGACTGTCACCAACAGTCAGCAGATCTGAAGACCTGCATCTGGGGATGTTTCCATTGACAGCATCTCTAGGGAATGTCGAGAGGTTAGGCAGTCTTCCCTGGAGAGGATAATGAGGGTTGGCTTGTTAAAGTCAGTATTCGCATGGATCTTTTCTCTTGTGTAGAAATCTACTGAGAATCAGAATTCCAGTGTTCATTCTGAGATTAAAAAGGACATTTCATGGACGGTCGCACAACGGTGTGAATATACTTAATGCCACTGAACTGTATACTTAAAAACGGTTAAGATGGTAAATTTTATGTTATCTGTATTTTACCACAATTTTTTAAAAAGATATTTCACACCCAGGTCTACTGAATAAGAAACCAGCTAGTGGGACCTTCCTGTAACCTCAGGCTCCTTCTTCCTGTAGCCAGTATTATTTTTTTCAAGTCTAACGATTCTGACTTATTAGAGAAAGTATGTTAGGCACCTCCCACCCAACTAGTAGCTTTCTCTCCTCTGCTTCATCACTGCTGTGTGACTTCCTTGCCGAATTCCCTGGAGTCCTAACCATTTCCCATTTCCTGACAGAATATAACTGATCATATAACAACTGGGTAGCGGTTTCTCTCTAGACCTCCCGAGTCCTAGCAGTATTCCTCTACTCACCCCTGAAGAGCTGCCTTCTTACAGGCTTCTCTACAGATGCCACCGGAACTCACCCAGACCTTACTATTGCCCCTGCAGGTTGGGGCACAAAGCCACTCTCCTCTGCTTTCAGCCTTGTGCCTCCTAGTTTTGAACCTACCATGTCTACCACCTAATAGGATGGATTGTCAGAGGAATTATCAGAGGATTGTTGAGCTCACTGACGTCAAACAGTGCTGCAGCTAGGTGGAACCTCCATTTTACCTGAGGCAGGAGGCTTAAAATGGACAAATTAGCATCAGCTCCACCCCTATGTCTATGTGTTTCCAGCTGACCTGTGTAGATGCCGCTGCTTTTGTTATCTACAAATAATAAGATAATCTCATCAAAGACTGCAAATGCATTCACAAGAAATTTGAGTAATAGCTGCTAGGATTTTAGTGCCTGCTCTACCCTCAAATGCTCACCACTTAGTATCTGACCTTGGTTAAGTTTCTTAAGTCTTGGGTGTCCTGGGAGAGGTAGAGACAGTGTGAGGACCTTAACCAAGGTCAGACACTAAGTGGTGAGCATTTGAGCTGAGATTGGAGCCAGGCTTTTCTCGTGATACCACACTGCCTCTCTAAAACAAAAACAAATCCAAGGTGTTGGGTACGTTCTAATGAGGGTGGCATTTTCGAAAATCATGTATGATTTTAGTTGTTTGTAAACACCTTCTCACCTGAACCCAGACTGGCTTGTGATCCAGAGCCTGCTCTCTGGGGCTTGCTGCCAGACTTCTGGGCCTTCAACAGCACTGTGGTGTCTTCAAGCCCTGCTGATGCCTGTATGACTAGATCTGTCTTTTGTCTTCCTCAAGGAGTTCAACCAGAGCTGTTGCTTAGCTAATGGGCTGAAACACCACTGACATTTAAAAACCGTCTGGGTTTTAAAATGCAGCACACCTCAGAGTGGCGCTCAGCAGAGCACTGGCTCGATTTCTGCTTGAGGATGTGGTTTTCAGTTTCCCTTTTTTATATCAAAACATTCTCAAGAAGACCTTCTCCCACCACTGACTGGATAAAGCTGTGAGTCTGCAGTCCATAGCCAGCCAGCCAGCCAAATAGTAAAACCTTCCCTGGACAAACTTAGTAGCCTCCAATGGTTCTTGATTCCTCTTATTTCCTTAGGAATTAAATTCCAGATGTTGCATTTGATAGCTCAGATGCAACCCCAAAGACTCAGGATGACCACTCTGATCACACAGTGGTGAGGAGAGAACTGAGCTGAGAGGAGACTGTCCCTTTCTGGGATCATCTGTTATATGCTTGGTAGCATTTCCCACAGTTACCACACCCAGGTCAGGAAGAGCAACCAAGTTCCCCCCAAGGAGAAGGGCTGACGTGTGTCCACAGGAATCCGAATCGCGCTGCCCACAGCTTTCTTCAAACTACCCTCCCTCCTCATCCCAGGTCTCCACACTGTCTTCTAAAGGGGCCTCTTTCTGTTGGCCGCAAGGGAAAAGAGTGAAGTCAGGACAGGGAGGAACAGGTACCCTCGCCCATTCCTGGTTCCCTCCACTCTTCTCAGAGTACCTGCTTGCCTCTCTGGTCCCACAGGGACCCTCAGCTACCACTGTCAAAGGTGTCTTAGGGCCAGAGGACATCCTCAGGCCCAGCACGTCGATGAAGAACCAAAGTACATCCACAGGTTCTGCAAGAGGCGCATGGGAGGGTTCCACATCCACTTATGAGAAAAGGCTCTCCCGCCCAGGGAATTCTCCACTCAGCAAAGTCTCCTCCAGCTCTCCAGGCCTGTGATAGCACAGGCCACCCCACCACATGCTGATCTTTCAGGAAAGAGAAGGCGCTCAGCTCCCTTAGTAGTTTAGCTCTCCTGTATTGACCCAGCACAGGGAAAGAACAAGGCTATGTGAGTCACAGCTCCACCAACTGTGGTCCTGGTCAACTTACCCAGCTTCTCAGAACTCAAGGCATCTCATCGGTAAAGAAGGGACATTGTTAGGGGCGGCTCTGAGAAAATAAAGAATATGCCTGCTTTCTTTTTAAGTAGTTGCTTTTGGTATCTCTCAGTGGCCTTTAACTACTCAGAGGAGGAAAAAGTTAGTGTGAGGAAAACGACTAAACCCAACCTCCCCAAAAGAGGTAATTTAAGGTGAAGTCAAACAACGTGTCAATTTAGAGACGTTTCCTTCAACACGGAAATAGGAGAAAAAATCATCCCTTCCAATTTTAATGAAGACAGTTCTTTTTTATTATTATTATGGAAAATGTCAAACATATCTGAAGATAGAAAGAAAAGTGTAATGAAACCATTCCCAGCTTCAAAAGCTACCCACTGGTGGCTGATCTTGTTTCATTTATACTCTACCTTCCCCGAATCACATTGTTTTGAAGCAAATCCCAGACAATCATAAATATTGTGATGGTGGCACCTGATTATGTCTCCTGTAGTAAGACAGACCCCTGACACGAGCGGACTGCCTTCTTCCTGGTCCTAACACTATGCCTGGTTCTAGCAGGTGCCTTGTATGCCTGAGATGAAGGTGCAGATGAATCTGTCCCTTTAGTGAGGATCAGCAGAGAGGGTGGCCTATGTTACTGAAAAGAATTGATCTTTGTCCCGCAGAATCTAGAGTCAGCTCCTGTTATTGACTGAGATGGCTAGAGGTAATATCCCAAAACAGGTTGAGTGTTTGTAGCTTCTCATCTTGAAAATATATGTCCGTGTTATCAAAAAACTTATTCTAGGCAGTTTTGGTTCACTTGCTGGACTTTATCTTTTTCAGACTATTGAGCCAAAAGTGAAAGTTTTCATCTTCAATTTAAAACTCCAGGACTGCCCCTCCACCAAGAAGAACCCATCTAGGCTGCTCTTCAGCCTTTTCGAAGGTGAGTGGACCATCACCGGAGAGGTTTTGAGTGACATTTGGTATACCGGTTTGGGAAGTAGCAGTCTCAAAAGTCTGGGGTTTCAGTGGGAGGTGGTCTGAGAGTCCATTCCAGATGGGTTCAGTGTCCTTCGCCTTCCTATTGTTGGTCCCTGAGTTCCCATTGGCCCAAGAAAGATGAGAGGTTCTGTACCAGGATGCCAAGGGTGCCTTGATCTTACAGAAATAAAGATCTTAAGGCCTCAGATGTCAGGTGTAAATATGGGAACTGCTCTGTACCTGTGTGTCTCTTTCCATTACCCTTCCCTCCAACGTTTCTCATCTCTGCCCTCCTTGGCAGGGCTGCCTCTCCCCCGCCCCACCACCACCACGGTGACCCCCTTGGCTTACCCTTGTTCATTTCCCCATTACCTCAAGGTACACTTGGCCCTGGTGGGTACCTGAGCAAAACTTTCAGGTCTGGGACGCACAGCTCATGGACTGTTTCCTCAATATTTCTTAGTTCAGATTCTTGAGAGTGAACCTGATTGGTGCTCCTGGTCCAGTCAGGTCAAGGGACGGGTGGGGTGTGTTAAGGCATCAGGGGCTTGGGAAAACTAGACGCTGCAGGAAGAGGCCCAGGGGCATGTCCTGGTGCCCTGATATTCAGTCCAGTCACCCTGAAAGGTCAGAGTATGGGAGAAGTAGTAGTGTCCTTGCCACCATCTGTCACCAGTGCTGAGCTGGCTTCGCAGACCTCATGAAACTTGACAGTAGACACCACTTAATGACCCTCACCCTAACTCGACTTTCATGGCATAACAATTTCCGTTCTTAAATTCCATCCCTTTCTAAATGGTGTGAGGATGGTTGATTTTGTATTTAATCTATAACACAATTTAAAAAAATCCACTCCTATCTAATGTTTGAGCTCTTCTAAATCAGTTGTTCTCTGTGTGTGGTCTCTAGGCCAGCAGTGTCAGTGTCGCCTGGGAACTTGTTAGACATTTCCATTCTCGAGCTCATCTCGGGTCAGAAACTCAGGTCAGAAGCTGATTAGAAACTTTGCAGTGGGCCCAGCAAGCTGTGTTTAACGAGCTCTGCAGGCGACACTGATGCACGTAGAAGTTAGAACCACTGTTCGAAGTCATAAATAGGTAGACATCACTTCTGACCTTAAATCCTTAGCCCATGGAATTTTCCAGAGAGGCCTGGAACCATTGCTTAGAATTTGGGTGTGTCACATAAGTGAGGAAAACGATTGATTACAGCCATGCATATTGTTGGTTGGGCTTCAGGTAGAGTTAATTAAACTTCTTCTCTTACAGCCATAAATAAAGACCAAGTGCTCATCATTGGGTTTGATATTAATATATTCCTGAGCTGTTCATCAAATTCCAAGAAAAGGTAATGTTAGATTTCCTGTCAAACCATCAATAACTGATATTTGCAAAATACTTTGCTGTTCTTCCATATGTGCAATCTCAAGGGACTGTTGTCATCTGCCTCTCGGGCCAGTGTGTTAATTGTGGACATTCTAGAGAAGAGAGATAGAGGCTCGGAGGGGAGAGCAGGGAGAACCCCTCTCACGAGTCTTACTCTGGGCCCTACGTAGTTCTGACATTCTCACCTGTCATTCAGCCACCTTGCAGTTCACACAAGTGCACACAACTAGCAGAGCTGGGATATGAACCTTTGCCTTCTCGTGTAAGATCTTGTGAGTCTGTGGCAGAGCAGACTGGGTTGAAGACAGATCTGACCATCCCAGTGAAGCTATGTGATCTGAGTGAGATGAGATCTCTGCATCTGTACCCAGCCTTCCTCAGGGCTGCCCTCTGCAGGTATAACTGCTGCACTCTATGGTGCAGTGCTTTCCAGCCTGTGGGACCGGACTCATACACCGGGAAATTAATTTAGAGGTTCAATTTGAAATGTTAAAAAATAAATGTTTTCCAAAAAAGAAAAATACTTATTTCTGAAATAAAACATACACAAAATATATATGGACATAAATGTCTATACATCTATACATAGTGATAGGTGGTGAAAGACACAGACCATGTGCTCTTTTTACCATTTACAAGCTATGTGGTCAAGGAGAAGTTCTCATTAAAACAAACAAAAAAAGATATGAGTTCATTTACATTAATAAAGTCTGGAGATGGACAGTCTAGAGTGGGTATAATCATCAGGAATCCAGGCTCCTATCTTGTTGCTTTGTCATCCTTAACAAGGCTTCTACCTCATAGTCCATGATGGATACTTGAGCTCCTGACATTATGTCCATAATCTAGGCAGCGTGAAGAAGGAAGGAGGTGGTAGCTGGGTTTGATGTTCAACTGGTAACATCAGCAGAGCTGTACCAGTAGTTCAATTATTGAAGTACTTCTGTACCAGCTGGTAGATAGCTGTTAGTCCCCTGGTGCCCAGAAGTTACTCATTTCTTTAAATCTGTTTCCTTCTCTGTGGAATAAAGATAAATAATTATAGTACCTATCTCATAAATTTGTTGTAAAAATTAGATAATATACATACATTCTTATCATGGTGGCCAGCACAGAATCGATGCTCAATAAATTGAAATCAACATTATTATTAGCTATGTTTTATAAATTATAAGAAGGAAAAAGTATGGCATCAAAACTGAGCATAGTATTCAAGGGTGATCTAATACAGAGAACAATAACATTGGTACAGTATTTTTACTCACATACGAGCAATAATAACTCACTTAAGCGGTGGTTATAATAATTTTCCCATCTACCAGTCACCTTCTGCCCATGATTTTGTGGATATGGCTTTCCACTCAGTCTTTCTGGAATGTTTACTGATTAAATACATTTTAATATCACTGTTCATCATTCTGGGGGCATTTGTAACTCACAGAGTCATTACTTATTATGTCCTTTTGTGTCACTTCAACCCCATAGCCCATCTTGTTCTCTGACTGACAGCTTGACCCTTCAGGCTGCCCGGAAGTGGGACCTCGAGACTGCAGTAGGCTCTTCGACGAGCTCGGCCTATCAGACAGTATGGGAAACATTTGCTAACCAGTCCAGAGCAGAAAGGGATGCTTTCCTGCAGGATGTTTTTCCTGAAGGCTTCCTCTGGGGCGTCTCCACAGGAGCCTTTAATGTGGAAGGAGGCTGGGCCGAGGATGGAAGAGGGGCAAGTGTCTGGGACCGACTGGGGTCCCAGAAGGCTGCCAAGGGCCAAGCAACACCAGAGGTGGCCAGTGACAGTTACCACAAGGTGTACTCTGACGTTGCCCTTCTTCGTGGCCTCCAGGCTCAGGTCTACAAGTTCTCTATCTCCTGGTCCCGTATCTTCCCCACTGGGCATGCGCACAGCCCCAGCCTTCAGGGTGTCGCCTACTACAACAAGCTCATCGACAGCCTGCTAGACTCACACATCAAGCCCATGGCCACACTGTTCCACTGGGACCTGCCTCAGGCCCTGCAGGATCTCGGTGGGTGGCAGAATGAGAGCGTGGTGGAAGACTTCCTGGACTATGCAGCCTTCTGCTTCTCCACCTTTGGGGACCGTGTGAAGCTGTGGGTAACCTTCCACGAGCCATGGGTGATGAGCTATGCAGGCTATGGCACCGGCCAACACGCACCGGGCATCTCTGACCCAGGAGTGGCCTCTTTTAAGGTACTTCTCATCTTTGCAGCACCTACTCATTGGAGGAGAAAGGACATTTGGTGGAAGAGTCAGTTTATCTTCCCATCGGCAACTGTTTACTTTTTGTCCTTTAAAGGAAATCAGAGGGAGGGGAGGAACCATAAATTGTTAATCACCTCGTTTTGTCCAAACACTGTGCTGACACTTTCAAAATAGTTATTATGTTCTCAGAAAAGCACAAATGAATGAGAGAATTGGGGAGGAGAAACAATTTAGTCATGACGATGTCACTAGTGGGTTGACTAGTTTGAAGCCAGAATTTGAGTTCAAGTCTACTCGACTCCAAGGCAAGTTTTCTGTGTCATCCAGTCCTTTTAGTTGCAAGTGACAGAAAACCCAACCCACACTTAATTAAGCAAGTAGGGGAATTTATGAGTTCTTTATTGGCTTTATTCTTGAGCTACTTAGTAGCCAGATGGCAGGAACGCAGTTCTCATATTTCAAGACCAGGAGGAAAGAAAGCTTGCCTCCGTTCTGGCATTCCCAGAAAAAGTCTCCTTGTGTCTCATGGTCTCTGCATGGGTCAAATGTCCATCCCCGAACCAGTCATTGAGTCTAGGCTAAGGGACTGTGGGGCACTGACTGGTTTGGGTCCAGGTCCCAGCTCTACCCCTCAGCACACTGGTTGAGAGGTGGGGAGGTGGGGAGGGACACAGGGGTTGGCTTTCCAGAGGGCATCGGGGTATCATTTCAACAAGGAGGGAATGTATATACTGGAGACAAAATTTTAAATGTCTTAATATGGCCTCCTTCCATCATTTTCTTTTGTCTTCAAAATCTCCCAGAAAACCCACCAGCTTTCCCTGGCAACATTCTTCAGATTAGGTATGTTAATCTGGCTCTCCCCCATCACTCTTAGGGGCCTGTTCCAAAATGAGTATTTACTGTGCCCCATGCTAGGTGTTAAGGCGGATGCCTGGCCCGAGCCCTCGAGATGTTAAAACCTTTGAGGGGAGATGACACTAATACACATAAGAAAATTGGAGAACAATTAAAAATGTCCCCAATTATAGTGAGCTGGAATACAATGAATAAATGATTCAATGAAATGACAAAAATTATAGCACTTAAGTCAAGGTTTCCATTCTGCTCTCAGCAAGTGACTGCACCGAGGGAGAGCAGACGACGCTCCTGAAAATGGAAGGTTCGAACCTCTCTGTTTGTCTCCTCATTGTAAAAGTCATCCAGACTTTCTCTCCTCAGGGTTCTTATCCCTACAGCTGTGGCTGCTGAGATTTTCTACAGAGACTTCAATGAGAAAGTCCACCTCACTCTTCTCCTTCAATTTGTGTTTTTACTTATTAGTTAAAACATTATAATACCATTAAGGACAAATTTCAAAGAAAAGATTTCTCTCATAAGTCTTACCAATATTTCCTTCCAGTCTTGGCTTCCTTACATTCCTAGTATAATCACACTGAGCACTTAGTTTAATGCCCTCTTTAAAAAATAGACTTTATTTTTTAGAGTAGTTTCGGGTTCACTGCAAAACTGAATGGAAGAAACAGAGAATTCTCATATATTCTCTACTCTCCATCCTCTCCTATTGTCAACATCCCCCACCAATGTGGCTCACTTGTTATGATCAATGAACCTGCATTGACACATCATCATCGCACTAGTGCTCACTTTCCACTTGGCATGTCATTAACACTTTCCCATGTTGTTGTGCCATCATAATGATTGTTTCTGATGATTGTCTGATACCCACTGAGCATCCTGCCCGACACTCACTAGTTTAGAAGGGACGTATTCCTGCATTTTGGAAAGGATCACAGCTCACTGTCGGAATTTAGGACCTAGTTAAGGATGAACACGTGGCACATGAGAAGCAGTGAGGTGTTTTACTTCCTCGGGTATATTTTGATATGAAATTCTTTAAAAGTAAATGTCATCACCCTCAGATGATAAAAGGGAAAGGGAGCTGAGCAGTAACAACCTCGCTTCTGCATGCCTAGTTTCTGCTTTGTGTTTTATAGGCACCATCTTATTTAATCCTCCTAAATGGATCCATAATTACCTGCTTCTTGCAGACCAGGAAGCAGAAATTGAGAGAGAAGACTGTTGAGTTTCCTGAGCTAGTTAGAGACACAGTCAAGATTCAAATCTAGGCCTGTTGTACTCCAGACACCTTGCTTTTGCCTGTTTTTTCATGGTGCTCCACCAAGATAAGCTGTTAACTTTTGTAAGACCATCAGTTAAGTCTACAAAGAGATTCCTGGTCATGGTGTTTCTGCCTCGATTTTGTTAAGTAGAAAGGGCAGCTGGTAAGCTAGAAAGAATTGTCCCCTCCTTTGTGTGTTAACTAAAAAGACCCTCCCCCCACCCCAATTAGTTGTTGACTAATTAGGCAATAAGCAGTTACTGAGAACAGAGACAGAATAGCACTGTGGGTGACAATACAGGCAATACAGGCCTGGAGTCAGATTGCCTTCATTCTGCTCTCTCCGGAATCTTATTTTCCACGTCTGTGCGGTGGTAATAATAATTGTACTTACCACTTAAGGTTGTTGTGAGAATTACATGAGAGAACTCACTAACAGTTTTTATTGTTAATATGGTTGTCGATAGCTGCTACTATTGACATGTTGATGGTGGTGTTGACTGGTCAACATTGTTATCCATTGTTGGTATTGTGGGCACTGGTATTGATGTCGATGTCTGCACTGTCCATATTGTTGACTTGTTGACATTAGTGTGAACTTGATCTAATGACATTGTTGGCATTAGTGTTAATGTTATTGATGTTGACATTTTCGGTGCCACTATTGTTATTAACTCGCTGGTATTATCGACATTGGTGTGATCTTGTTGATGTTGTCACTGACTCGCTGCTGGTTTGTTGGTGCTGTTGCTGACATTGCTGCTGTTGTTATTAAGCACTGTATTTCCTTCTTTTTTCTTCACAAGGTGGCTCACCTGGTCCTCAAGGCTCACGCCAGAGCTTGGCACTACTACAACAGCCGCCATCGCCCACAGCAGCAGGGGCATGTGGGCATTGTGCTAAACTCAGACTGGGCTGAGCCCTTATCCCCAGAGAGGCCCGAAGATCTGAGAGCCACCGAACGCTTCTTGCACTTCATGCTGGGCTGGTTTGCACATCCCATTTTTGTGGATGGAGACTACCCGGCTACCTTGAGGGCCCAGATCCAACGGATGAACAGACAGTGCCCCAGTCCTGTGGCCCAGCTCCCTGAGTTCACTGAGGCAGAAAAGCAGCTTCTGAAAGGCTCCGCTGATTTTCTGGGTCTGTCCCATTACACGTCCCGCCTCATCAGCAACGCTCAACAGGACACCTGCATCCCCAGCTATGATACCATCGGAGGCTTCTCACAGCATGTGGACCCTGCATGGCCCCAGACTTCCTCACCCTGGATTCGTGTGGTACCCTGGGGCTTGAGGAGGCTGTTGCGGTTTGTATCCTTGGAATACACAAAAGGAAAAGTTCCAATCTACCTGGCTGGGAATGGCATGCCCATTGGGGAAAATGAAAATCTCTTTGATGATTCCTTGAGAGTAGACTACTTCACTCAATATATCAATGAAGTGCTCAAAGGTAAGAATGGTGGATATGTTGGTGATTGGAAGGTGGGTAGTACCTCTTCAAGTCTTCAGAGTTTTGTTTTAGGGGACAAAGTCAGTCTCCCAAGGAAATAAAGCCAAAAAGTAGTTGGTGCTAGCAGCGTGAGTCCCTCACAACAGCCTCCTAACCGTCTCCCTCAAAGGCTTCAAGTCTTTGCTCCCATATTCTTACTCCCTAGAATGCCTCCCTTCTACATTCTGCCCATCCGAATCCTGTCTATTCATCAAGCCTCATCATCTTTTAAAGCACTTATTTAACAAATATTTATTGACTACCTGTTATACGCCAGACATTGTGTAAGACAGTAGGGGTACAATATTGAACAAACATTGTCTTTTCCCATAGGAGACTCACAGTCCTCAGAGGACCACAGACAGAAAGTTGCAATATAGGGTGATAAAGGCATTACAGAATGGCATGAGGACACACAAGATGGGACTCCAACCCATTAAATCTTTCTTCATTGCTCCAGGCACATTGATCTTCATCTCCTTTAATTGGCTATAAAATATACATTCCATATCATTCACTTTGATCTAATTAATCCATATCTACAGTCTCATTCTTAGCTAACATACTGTTTCATGTGTTTTTTATTCCAAGTAAAAACGAATGGCAAACAGGCTTCATCTCATATGTCAGTACCAATTGGTTGATAGCGGCTAGTTGTCATCATAGAGGACTATGATGAAAAGCTTTCAAGGCCTCGTCTAAATTCAAAGAGAAAGAGTCGATAACTGATACCTGTCCTGGGCACCACAGTGAAAAAGAGACACACATCCCACTGAGGGGAAGTCAAACACCCACTCTTATTCTTCACTTGTACTCTTCTCAGCATTAAGTAATGTTCCAATTCTAAAATCTTCATAATCTTGAAATCAATTTAAGACGTTATCTCAAGTGATCCTAGAAACAACCTTATGCAATAAATAGGGGCAGATATTATCCTTGTGGGACAACTGTAAAAACTGATGCTCTGAGGTATTAAATACTGTGCCCAAACCTCCAGAGAGTGGAACCATAGGCTTTTCTATCTCTGGCCCAGCTCTTCACTCTATTGACTCACTGCTACTCACCTTTGTGTTCCTGGAGCCTGGCACAGCCCAGAGACAAAGCAGGTACTTGCTGGGTTATTAATTGAATAAATGAGCAACTTATCCTACTTCTTATACAATGAATGTTGCTTGAGAGCCTGTATGATCTGATAAAAACAAGGTTTAATATTTCGCTGGCTCCCAGTTGGAGCCCACAGCCATTGCCTTACTTCGGCTCTGGTTCTTGGTTGACTTGCTAGACTGTCTTTATTTTCTCACAGTTCTGGAGCCCAGATGTCTGAAATCAAGATGTCAGTAGGTGTGCTCTCCCTCCAAAGGCTCCAAGGGAGAATCCTTCCTTGCCTCTTCCAGCTTCTGGTGGCTCCAGTCATTCCTTGGTTTGTAGCTGCATCACTCCAATCTCTCCCTCCATATTCACATGGCCTTCTTCTCTACATCTCTTATAAGGACGCTTGTCATTGGAGTTAGGGCCTATCTGGTTAATTCAGGATGATCTCATCTTGACATCCTTAATTACATCTGCAAAGACCCTTTTCCCAAGTAAGGTTACCTTTGCTGGCACCAGGCGTGAAGGCTTGAGCCTACCTTTTTGGCAACCACCATTGAACTCACTATATCAGGGAATACATTTATGTAGGCTTTCTTTCTTTTCTTTTTTTTTTAAACATAGAATGCATGATCATTTTATGTCAATATTACTAAACACAAACAAGGAAAAACAAACGGACATTTTTTAAGATTAAACAATTAGTGTATTCTATATAAAACCAAGGAGTCCTGATACTTGCAGATTGGGCATGTTCTCTCCATTATTCAAGACAGGGATGTTCCTTTGGATTGAGATTTATTGTGACAGATGTGGCCTGATTTCTTTTATTTCTTTTTATTCCTTCTGATTTTCTTTTTATTCCTTCTGAGGAAGAAAAAGGGTTAACATTTTTGGAGTAACTCATCACCCCCAAAACTTTCATGTCAAAAAGAAACTTTGAAAAGACAATATCAACATCAATAACAGAGACTTCAAATAATGTTTTTGTTTTTCTCTAAAGCTGTCAAGGAGGACTCAGTGGATGTTCGATCTTACATTGCTCGTTCCCTTATCGATGGCTTTGAAGGACCCTCTGGTTACAGCCAGAGGTTTGGGCTGCATCACGTCAACTTCAACGATAGCAGCAAGCCAAGGACTCCCAGGAAATCTGCCTATTTTTTCACCAGAATCATTGAAAAGAATGGTTTCCTCACCAAGGCAGTAAAAAAACTGCCACCACTCAGAACAGCAAACTTCTCCCCTAAAATAGGAGCCTTCGCTTTTCCTTCGGAGGTGCCCTCTCAGGCTAAAGTAATTTGGGAAAAGTTCTCCACCCAACCCAAGTTTGAAAGAGATTTGTTCTACCACGGCACATTCCGGGATGACTTTCTGTGGGGTGTTTCTTCATCAGCCTATCAGATCGAAGGAGCTTGGGATGCCGATGGCAAAGGCCCCAGCATCTGGGATAACTTTACCCACACACCAGGAAACAATGTGGAAGACAATGCCACTGGAGACATAGCCTGTGACAGCTATAATCAATTGGATGCTGATCTGAATATGCTGCGAGCTTTGAAGGTGAAGGCTTATCACTTCTCTCTGTCCTGGTCTCGGATTTTCCCAACTGGTAGAAACAGTTCTATCAACAGACATGGTGTTGATTATTACAACAGGCTGATCAATGGCTTGGTGGCAAGCAACATCTCTCCCATGGTGACTCTGTTCCACTGGGACCTGCCCCAGGCCCTCCAAGATATTGGAGGCTGGGAGAATTCTTCCTTGATTGAGTTGTTTAACAGCTATGCAGACTTTTGTTTCCAGACGTTTGGTGACAGAGTCAAGTTCTGGATGACCTTTAACAAGCCCACATACCTGGCATGGTTGAGTTACGGCTCAGGAGATTTTCCCCCAAATGTGAATGAGTCAGGCTGGGCGCCTTACAGGATTGGCCATGCAGTCATCAAAGCTCATGCCAGAGTCTATCACACCTACGATGAGAGATACAGGCAAGTTCAGAAGGGAGTCATCTCTTTGAGCCTCAGTGCACCCTGGGCAGAGCCCAAGTCACCGAAGGTCCCAAGAGAAGTGGAGGCAGCTGACCGAATGCTGCAGTTCTCACTGGGCTGGTTCGCCCACCCCATTTTCCGAAACGGAGACTATCCTGATGCCATGAAGTGGAAAGTGGGGAACAGGAGTGAACTACAACACTTAGCCACCTCTCGCCTGCCAAGTTTCACTGAGGAGGAGAAGAAGTACATCAGGGCTACGGCCGACGTGTTTTGCCTCAACACCTACTCCTCCAAAATTGTGTGGCATATAACACCCAGATTAAACCCACCCTCCTACAAAGATGACCAGGAGATGACTGAGGAGGAGGACCCTTCATGGCCTTCCACAGAAATTAATGGGGCTGCGCCCTGGGGAATGCGAAGACTGCTCAACTGGATCAAAGAAGAGTATGGTGACATCCCCATTTACATCACTGAGAATGGAGCGGGACTGACAAATCCGACAGTGGAAGACACCGATAGGATATTTTACCACAAAACCTACATCAATGAAGCTTTGAAAGGTAGGTAAGGGTTCACGTTCCCCCTTACAGAATCTTCCAACATCCATATGTCATGTGCCTGAAATGGTCTGGCAGCATGGATTACAAACCATCAATCTCTCTTATGTCTAACTCCATAATTCATTCCCTTTCTGGGGTTACAGATCCCTTTGGGAATCTGAAAAAAGCTAAAGTCATCCCCCAAATGTACACACACAGACCTCACAAGAGTATCTCCATAGGATCCTTCATTTATTCTTCAGCAACTACTGTGTGACAATTTCTTTTCTAAGTGCTGGGGAAACCACAGAGAACAAACCCATAACTTTCGGCTGACATTGCCAATGGATTCCATACACTCCAGAGCAAGACACTTCTCTACTTCACATTTCTGTGTTTAAATTCTAAAGTGGGCTGAGTCTCTTGAATTGAAGACACATCCTTTTACTCCCCAAAATAATTTGATTTTATAAAGATGAGTCATTAATACTTGCTATGGGGGCATCAGTACTGGCAAAAACAAAGACACACGAGCCAGTCTGTCTGTCAGAGCATATATTACTTGTGCGTACAGGTTGAATGGTGTAGGACCTCTGTCTTGAGTTGAGGATCCAGTGCTGGGCTGAGCTTCTTGAGGCCCCCAACCTCCGGGGGTAAAGCTTTCCTCTGCTTCCTTTGGAATGTTCCCAGCCTACAGGCTCGACGGGGTAGACCTTCGAGGGTACGCCGTGAGGTCTCTGATGGACAACTTTGAGTGGCTACATGGTTACACAGTCAAGTTTGGACTGTACCATGTGGACTTCAATAATGTGAACAGGCCTCGTACAGCAAGAGCCTCTGCCAGGTACTACACAGAGGTCATCACTAACAACGGCATGCCGCTGCCCAGGGAAGACGAGTTTCTCTATGGTCGGTTTCCCGAGGGCTTCATCTGGAGTGCAGCTTCCGCTGCCTATCAGGTGAGGAGTTCAAGGCAGTTCAGCATTGTCTGTTGCACACCTACTTGTGCCAGGTTCTAGGCTTGGTGCTGAGGAGGGCGGGTATAAGCAGGGCATTTCCATAGACTGTGGGAGGGAAGTGAGGGATACCATGGGAGGAATCTGGGAGATCCTCTTCCCAGCTCCATCACATCCCCAAATACAGGCAAACCAGCACAATTAAGAGGGCTGTGCTCAGATGGGTGTTAGCGGGAAGATGGAGCAGGTGGAGCCTGGATAGAAACACTCAGGCACAGACATGCAAATATGAAGATTCTCTGCCAGGTACCTTTATTTCTCGCCTAGTCTCCTCCAAGTAGGCAAGTTGCTCAAAATGGTTATGACATGCATCTGGGTTTTTTTCTGATGTGCTAACAACATCATACTGTTACCTTATTCATGCCAAATGAAGCTTACTCATACAGGAAAATATGAAAGTTTTTCACAGAAAAATAAAAAGCAGAATGACTTGCCCTGGCATTTAGTGGTGAGTCCCTGCTTTACATCTTCTGCTTCCATTTATTTTCTTTGTTCCAGGAGTGGGGGCTCTGCATGCTCAGTGTGGAACCTGGGCCGTGTCAGTGATGTGAGCCGACCTGACTCCGGGTGTGCTCAGCCCTTGGGTTTTTTTCTAGACAGTCATAGCTGCCAAAAATATTTTTGAGGTAGTAGAGTGTTAACTACTACCAGGGTATAAAGAAACCTCTTTAAATTCTACCACATCCAGCCTGGCCTGATTGACATTTTGGATGGATAATTCTTTGTTGTGGGTGGTGTCCTCTACATGGTTAGATATTTAGCAGCATCCCTGGCCTCTACCTACTAGATGCCAGTAGACTTCTCTCCCAGTTGTAACAACCAAAAATATCTCCAGACGTTGATAAATGTCTCCTCAAGGCACAAATAGCCACTGGGTGGAGAATCACAGCTGGACACAGGAAGGTGTAGGAATTTACTCTAGGGCACAGGCTGCAGGCCTCGCTGCATTCTTTAACCCTTTCCGTGCAAGGGCAGGGAGTCTTGAAAACATTTTAGCCAACCCGTCTTGAATGATTAAATTGGCATCAGTGAGTGCTCATTTCTATTCATTATGGCAGTCAGCAGGCACAATTCTCACCATTTGTGACACCGGATATTCTAATTAGCAAAGTATGGGTTATGAATTGAGAATGGATGAGAAGTGTCTATAGTGTGGGCTTCCTGATCAGATGCCATCTGACTGTTCTTTTTAAAACCTCTCATTTGGAAACCTTTTAAACATAGAGAAAATTTGCAAAAATAATACAGAGGACTTCCATATACCCTTTCCTCATATTTCTCAATTGTTAACACTTTACCTTTTGTCTTATTTTCCCTCTGTGTGTATATATGTACATACATACACACATACATAATATATATGTACATATATACATATGTGTGTATATATGTATACATAATATATATACACCTATATACAT